TTACCCGTAGTCGTGACCACAGTCACCAATGAACGATCAATCTCCACTGCGATTCGATTCGTCGTCGTATTTGACCTTCTATCCGTCTTGTTTTGGAGGTTGCCTTTTGTTCGTATTTCACCGACTCAAATACTTTCAATCATCTGTGAGGTTGTTGACATTTGCTATAAGATGTTTACCAATCGACCAGGGAAACGGTCGTCAAAGTATTTGATTGAATAGGAAATCCGAAACAAATTATGTCACTCTTCTTTTTTTTCTCTAGTAGAAGAAAGACACAACCATGGTAGTATATGTCTCTCTTATCTAGAAAACCCTACACGATGGTTCGAGCGGATGTGTTCTTCTCTTTTTTGAAGGTTGGTGTGTTCTTCTTCATTTATTTTGATTATTTGTTGATGTTTCCTTGATTCTTTGTTCATTTCTAACGGATTGGAAACAGAAACGATGCACCGCCATCAACAACAACTGGTGAATTGTCTTTCACGGTCTTTCTTTTCCACTCAGAAATTACCACCGCCTCAATCTACCTAATTCTTTGTACAAAACAAGGTGACACACACACACACACCGCATATGATTTTCTCTAGTTATCACCTCCAGCCACTCCATCGCTTTCATCCCGCCACCATGCCACTCCACCACCTTCCTCCTCCAATAGCGCTGATTGAAAGTTCTCTTCTCCATCTATGAACAGTAACAGACTGAGTCAGTTATTGTTTAGTAACAAAGTTTGTTATTGTTTATCATCTTATCTTATGATTTTATAACTTCTCAATTTGTAACGCCCGCACATCCGGGCTAGTCAATTTAGAGACAATGAGCATAAAAAAATGAGTTTTAATAGAAGATTATTTATAAGTATTAATTTTAACCAAGTTATAGTATATGTTACAAGGGTTCCGTACATATAAAGAATTCCGAAATCCGAGTTATAACGAAGAAGTTATGGCTCGTCGAAGTTTTACGGCAAAACCGACAAGATACTACGCGACGTAAATAGTGAATTTATGATAAATGACTTTTTGGCCTTAGTGATCTAAAAAAAAGTTTTAGTATACGTTAAACCAAGAACATGCATAAAAAGAACGCCCAAATCTGACTTTGTATGAGGAAGTTATGATTTTTCTAAGATTTAACATAGCATTGCACAGCCTGAAATTTGAATTTTAGATCGAGCAGTTTTTGGCCAACGCGGCCTAAATGATAATTGAATATCTAATTAATAGGAACTCAACGACAAAAAGACAGACGAAAACGGATTACGTATGTAGAAGTTATGAATTTTACGCGGTCATTTAACAATATAATCTCCTCATACTATTAAATTTAAAATTGGTCGAGAATTAGCCGAAAGAGTCAAAAGGAAAGTTATAGATCTTGTTTTTTACCTATGCATGGACATAAAGAACATCAAAAATGGATCTCGTATGCGAAAGATATGGACAAAGCTTAGTCTCTACTTTTCGAGCGCGTCGAATTCGATACAGTTTTGTAAATCTAAGATACAATGAGAATTAGCCAATGGGGTCAAAATGAAAGTTGTAGCACTCATAAATACCAAAGCATGGATATAAAGAAAGTTGAGAATAGAGCTCGTATGAGAAAGATATGGACGAAACTTAGTCTCTACTCTTCAGGCACAACGAATTCGATACAATTTTGTAAATCTGAGCTACAATGAGAATTAGCCGACGGGGTCTAAATGAAAGTTGTAGTACTCGTAAATACCAACACGTGGATATAAAGAACGTAGAAAACGGAGCTCGTACGTGGAAGATATAAACGAAACTTAGGGGCTACTCTACGATAAAACCCCTATAAATAAGAGATGAACTCTTCATATTTTCTTCATACCATAAGCCTTTCTTTCTCTCTCTAGCTTCTCTCTAACCCCCCAACCCCCCCCCCCCCCCAAACCTAGGGTAACTCCCTAGCACAAGGCGGAAGCCTCAGAGCGCCCGACGGCTCCGAAAAGAAGAGCTTTCGACTCGGAAACTCTGCATCATCGAAGCTCGGTTTTTAATAAAATCCGTTGTAAGTGAGCTACATTTACCTTAGTTTAAATATAGCTTTTATTTAAATATAGTAATGTTATTAGGACCTTATAATAAATATTTGGGTTATTATTATAAGTTATATAAGTGTCGTTGTAATATATTCTAACCACTCGCAATACAGGGAATCTGGTTTGAAAGGCCGCTTGGGTTGCTGGATTCAGAAGTGCTATATGCCAAAATGATCCTGCCCTCCGGTGTTTCATGTCTGGCCCCTGTCTATACATAGTGGGTGAAGAGTATTGTTTAACGCTTATATAATAGTAATAATAGTTAGAATATTACTTAGTCTCGGTGAATATTATACTAAACTCTAGTGGTAATGATACTAGGTTTTGTCAAGGGAAATTGTTTTGAGTTAACGAACTATTGTCCAAGTGTCGAGTCACCACCTTTACAGGTGAATTCATAGTTACTTTCATCTTACACATAGATACAAAGTATTTTATATAAATTACATGTTATGTGTGCATATTATCTGTATACTTGTTATCTATGCTGAAGGAACGATTTTATACATGTTTTAAATGATTTAAAATATATATGTATTTTATATCTACAAAATATGTTGGGTAAAACATGGGTAGATTAGAGATGAGATAAATGATGAGCGATGAAAGATGAGATGAATGATGAGCGATGATATAAAAAGGTGAGAAGCGATGAGCCGAATGATGAACCAAGCAATGACCCACGCGATGGCCTCGTCATCTAGCAGAGTATGGATGATAACCACAGACTATTCTAGATAGTCCAGTGGAACACTAGCAGACTCGCAACCTATAGGTGTTGTGGACTTGATGTTCACCGGTGTACTCTAAAAACCCATTGACATGTATTGCGAGTGGACTCTCAAAAACGATACTGACAATAAAAGAGATAAACCCCGACGACTATGGAGTTAGCGCCTGGCAGCTATGGATTTAGTGTCTGTTGAGTAAACCCCAGCGGCTATGGAGTTAGCGCATGGCAGCTATGGATTTAGTACCTGTTGAGAAAACCCTGACAATGATGGATTTCGTGTCTATTCCTTAGGATAACCCTTAGGAATGAATGAACGAGGAATAGCTGATTCTTAGGATAGAATAAAGAAGATAGTGGGGATGGGTAATTGGGTTGATTGTTTTGATGTTCAAACATAATAATTATATTATTGTGGGTTGAAAACCCTATGTACTCACCAGGTTTGCCAACCTGACCCACTCAAGCTTACTTGTATCACAGGTGTCGATACGAAGTTACAATACACTGAGAGATTAAGGAGATATATATCACTAGTGATAATGAATGTAAGTTCTGTTTATGCTTATGTTTTTGTATTGACGACGACATCCCAAATGTTATAAAATAAATAAAAATACATTTCTTCGTAAATGTTTTGATAACACATTTATCGTGTTTTTTTGGGAACAAATTCTGCAACATTTTTATTAAAAGAAGTAGTCTGATTTTTATAAAAACATAAACAAAATCGGTCTTTTCTGGCCGTGAAAATGGGGATGTCACACAATTTATCAGCTTCTCATATGATTTTCAAGACATCGGCTTCTCATTTGATTTTAAATCATATCAGTTCATCGGCTTCTCATCTGATTTTCAACCTGGACCAAATTGACTCTTTTACAATGTGTTGATTCAATATGAGCCCGTATTTACTCCTTCCACCACAAGGTTGTCCTATGAAATCAAGCAAAACAACAAGTATATTCAAGAAAGACATTACACACATACCATTAATTAGGCCAGGCTACACTAGAAGGAATCACATTAGGTTCTGAAACACTGAAAGAACTTACAGTTGTAAGTTCCCTACAACACCAGAAGGAATCACATTAGGTTCCCTGCAACACTGAAAGAACTTACAGTTGTAAGGTGTGGTCTACTATGGAGAGACATGGTGATCATTCAATCGTTACATAATCTCGAGATTCTCCTGCTAAAAGAAAATTGCTTTGAGGGAACCCTATGTGACACAGGTGAGGAGCAATTTCAATAACTAAATTTTTTGTGTCTAGAAGAGTTTAATATCAAAAAATGGGAATTCTCAAGTATCAGCTCTTCTTCTCTCAAAGAATTACAGGTGTGGAATTGCATTGATCTTGAAGAGATACCCTATGAGTTAGGGGATATCTCAACACTTGAGTATATTTACGTTTTTAACTGTGGTGCTTCTTTTCTCGTATCTCTTCAAAAAAATACGACAGGAGCAAGATGATGCGGGAAACTATGAACTTGAGATCATAATTGATGGAAGGAAACACTACTAGAAAAACAGCCTTTTACGACGCTCATTGCGCGTCGTAAAAGGCTCAGACGACGCGCAAATGCGCGTCAAGGAAGGCCCTGTCATAAAGAGAGACGACGCGCTTTTGCGCGTCATCTATAGACGACGCGCATTTACGACGCTCATTTACGACGCGCAATTATGACGCGCGTTCACGACACGCAATGCGTATCAAGGTAGGCCCTGTCATAAAGGAAGACGACACGCATTCGCGTGTCGTAACCTTACGACGTGTGTGTTAATGACACGCAATGTGTATCAAGAAAGCCCTTGTCAAGAAAGGTCATGTTATAAATGAAGATGACACACATTTTTGCGTATCGTAATTTTAAATGTTTAAAAAAATATTATTTATAGATTTACTAATTTTCAAATTAAATAATACATTAAAAATCTCATAATACAAAATAAAATACCATAAATAACAAAGATAATTCATTTCACTAATATCTCAAATACAAATCATTATTCCAATAGTGAGTAAATACAAATCATTATGCCCGATGGTCCGATGACAAAGCCCACAAGGTTAGCCACCTACCAAATAGATATAAGGGCAAAATGGTCATTTTCACATTCTTTTAAACTAAACCAACATATCCATAGACATTGGTCCCCTTGCAAGTGTTGTTATTTCAGGAACATATATTAGGGTAGTTTTATGCAACACAAACCATGAGACACACGACTGTGATAGCACCAACAACTGCACTAAGCTCACGCAAAATAAACTCCTTAAATATGTTATCAGCCTGCAAAACCACAACTCAAATTTCAGGGAATTCGAATCTCAAACTATTTATTTTTGTTATATGTATGTATAATGAGGGTATTTTGGTCTCTGAACAAAAAAACAAAAAACAAATTCCTTCGATCGATGATACTGTTTTTCTTCATATATCATTTCGTGTCAAACGAACAACCTTAACGATGATGATGAAATCGACATCGACACCGAATTTATCTGTGGTTCTTCTTTTGCACTGAGAGAAAACAAGAAATCAAAAAAGATATCTGAGATGACTGAAACTAATACAAAGAGTTATGAAAGCTGTAAAAAATCAAGGTCTAAGAAATCCGTTCACCATTTTGGACATGCAAAAGAGAAAAAAGTGATCTGGAATTGTCATCTTAACAATGATGACCTTTTATGTTCAGCTATTTTAAAAAACAGAGGTATTATAAAGAAAAAACCATGTCCCCCAAAAGGTTAGAGGAAATACAAGGGTACAAAAGGAAGTTGTGTATTGCGTCCAAGAAGTGTAACCAAGTTTGGCCAAAATCACATGGAAGGGAGGTGGTCTGGTCTTGGTGTATGGACGGTTTTGTCCTCGTTGATAGAATCCAGTAGATGATTTAGTTGTGAAAGATGGTTTGGTTACCAAAAATGACTTTTTGTAAAAAGCTCGTGTTTGAATCTATTTATGGAGTCTGGGAAGTCGTTTACTTTGTGCCAGCTGGAAGCTTGGTCAACTGAATATAAGGTTAGGAGAGGTGCCACGCGGACTGTGGAGGTGGAGGAAATTGATGAAAATGATGACAGTTGTGGGATGTGTGGTGAGTTGATTTGTTGTGATAAACTGATAATTGCCCCCCAACTTTCCATCTAACATGCTTATGTGTACATGTGTGTCTTGCTTTCCCTTTGTTTATATTTTTACTTTCATAATCTTTTTGTCATTATTTCTTAATTTATTTGGCTATTTGTATCCCATTTTATACACCGTGGCATATTCTCAGGGGCTTCAATCCCACTTACCTTCCCATATAACCAAACACTAAGGACCCAACGAAAACCATACCAAGCCACTTGTTTCAGTGTATAACTCTTCTGAGGTCTATCCAGCTGCCACAAAAGGAATCAGATTCTTGTCAGTTCGTTTCCCAAAGCAGCAGATAGAATCTGTCAATTGCATCCATTTGGCAACCATGGAATGGAATGGAAACATGAATCAAAACGTAAATTGTGAAGAGTAGTAGGAAGTAAGAGAACTGGGTAGATATATTCAACCATGGAATGGAATATAATGGAAACACGAATCCATTTGGCAACCATGGAATGGGAATGGAAACATTTATCTGAAACAACAACAAAACCCAAATCCCAAGGGGTAAAGATATCATATAGATATAGGTGAAATGACTTATTTATCCCTTACAGGCATTGTGGCAGGATCAAGGAATTTGGCAGCACGATAACGTCCAAATGGGAACTCTTGAAAACAGTTTATATAATATATATAGGTTGATAAAAAAAAAGTAATAATACTTTTTTAAAAGAAGCAAAATTGCATACCAATAACGAAGCAAATACGGTTGTAATTCGGTTGGCCATCACATTCAAACATTCATTTCCTTTTCAGGTCATTACCTCATTCCCATAAAGCTCTTCCAAAACCATTGTATTATCAGTGATAAAACATTGTATAGTAATAGAAATCGACTAGTCAACACCAAAAGATAACACACACACATTAACTGAAAAGGAATTTAGTTTATCATGTACCTGGCTATCAATGGCAAAGTACACCAAGTTCATCTTCAAATCCGACTCAAAAGTAAATTCAAGTATAAAGTCTAATTATATAACAAAAAAAGATCCAAGATTAGATTAAACCTCTTTCAAAGCACGTAAATGGGATTTTATACTTTGCTCTTTTTTATGTAATTAAATTATTCCTTTAGAACTGAGGAACTGAAGAAGACGTAGGCAGTGAAAGGAAAAGTAAGGATATATCATAAGAAAATCTAAATACTCTGTTTTTTATGAGATGAAAATAACAGAACATGAAAGAGGGAATATGATCTTTTCACATACTCTCTATAAAGAGGTGTTTTTCTAGATATGTCAGATAATAGCATAACAACACTGCATTTTAATAGAAGCAAGTGAGGATAAAAGAAGAATAAGAAAAATCAAGCAAGTTAGGCATTGTAAATGTAAGAGTTAAAATTATATACTTGTTGTATATGAGTAAGAAAAGAAAGGAAAACAGTTAACATGAAGTGTGTGTGTGTATATATATATATATATATATATATATATATATATATATATATACTTCTCTTGTTGGCTGGATGTAGTACACTACATCCATAGTGGTTAGTGGTTGTCTTCTCTTGTTTATGTCTTCCACCACTGCAGAAAGAAGATTTAAAAAGTGTCACGTGACTGATGAGACAATCAATATCATTCCTTGTTTTTAAGATAGTAAAAAAAATATAGTGAAGATCAACAATGAACAATTCGAACTTTCTGAGGCAGGCCTTTTACGTCTTACATGAAACTCCTTCATCTGTGATGTATGCCATCTTGCATGAGCATGGCACTATTTTAACAGGCACTTTATCCATGATCAGTACCTAACCCAACAAGTGTCACATACCAATAGCTATCAATAAGCCATAAACGTTCAGACCAGTGTCAATCATTAGACTACAAGGTTGTAAATAATACATTCCAATTTGATTTTCAATCTGGTCTTCTTGCTGTTCTCAACATTTCATACAATAATCCTGCACATGGAAAATAATAATTGAATCGAATGATTGTCTTGAAAACAGATTTACACATCAGTAACTTTTTGCCTCTGATATCAACAAAGTCAGTGAATCTAATTGCTATATATATATATATATATATATATATATATATATATATATATATATATTTGATACCAAACAATTCTCTCTTAACAACTCTTGGTTGAACATATTGAAAAGGAAAACTATCATCTTAAGGCTTTTGCCTATCACAACTAGTTTGGGACAAAATGTTTATTCTTGTGTTTTTTTCTTGTTATTCCATGAACAGAGGAAGAAGGTCTTCAACTAATCCAACTTTAAAGAATGGAAAAAATTAGCAATATATAAGCGAAAGGGGCATGTGATGATACGCATGTGTGGTGCTCAATTTAGAAGGTCGTTACAACAAAGCAAAAACTCATAACTAGAGGTTTCACAAGATGAACTTCTAAGCATCTAAAAGCTAAAGTCTCGGTTGCTACCACAAATAAGTTAAAATAGGGAGGTCAGGTTTCATTTCAATCCTTGTTCAATTCAACTTCATTAAAACTTGCTGTTAGATTAGACAAATTATAAAACAAGATCAAAAAGAAATACAGAACCAATAATTACAATGTTACTAAACTTCATGCACCAATCAAAAGAAAGGTTAAGCACTAGAGATGCAGTAATGGGCTTTGGTAACCTGATGAAAACTAATGACCTTAAGATACACACATGCTATAAGTATTAGCCCATTTGGTTAGTACCGGTTTGCAGAGGCACAAGGTTGTAACAATTTTTTTGATCTAGTAAAATTACCAGAATTGCTATGTGTCATTAGAAGTGCAAATAAGGGTAACCCCATAATCTTGATTCTTGAGGTCAGTTGGCAGTGGCACCACTAATACCTCAAAATGGAATTGTTAGGTTTGTAAGCCTCATCCGGTTAAACTTCAAAAGAGTTTCTGACTGATTAAATGAAAGAGGGAAATATACGATGACCCATAATTTCATATAATGGTGTTCTGTAAAAACCCATACAACAAACATTACTTTTCGTTCGTGAAGCTAATTACTACAAAAATCAGTGTGTGAATTGATTGAAGAAAACCCTCAAAGTTCAACAAGAAACTCAGATCGCAGCAATCAGTTCTCTGGTGGTTAGAAGATGGGGAGAGAGAGAGAGAGAGAGAGAGAGAGAGAGAGAGATACTGAAATGTAAATTAAAGAGGTGGTAACCCTCCAGTGTGCATATTGCACCCTTCAGCTCTCTCTTGCATCGCAGACAGTATTCTACAACCCATTTCAGCTCCGTATCTGGTCGTTCCTTTTCATATGGATGACGAGGCTTCTTGAAAGTTTTTCCATATGAAAGTGGTGGTGATGGAAGAGATGGTAGGTCGGCGGTGGATGGTAGGAATGGTGGTGACGGTCGATTGTGTAGAGGTGAGTGTGAGGTGAGGTGGAATGAGATTTTATGAAAAAAGCCCTAGATTTGGACGCCTTTTGTAATTGAGGATAATGGATGCGTGTTTGGTAAAATAATTATAAAAGGATGCCTCTGCAATCGAGAAGGTGGGAGGATAAAGATGAGAGAAAGCCTGGTGGAGAAGGAAAGACGAGAACGTGGAGGTGTCCATTAGGGGTTGTTCAACTGGTAGCTTCGATTGACGGTTGATTAGTCGTAGTTGTCGATCGGCACTACAATCGACATTCATAGAGGGGTGGAGACGAGGGAGAAGAAGGCGGGGGTTGAAAAAATTTGGGGATTTTATTTTCCCCTCTAAGGAGCGCGTTTCTTAAAAAAATATGAAGCGACATTCACGGAGGACGCACAAGTGCCCTCCGCGTTTTTTACTTTTTTACATGAGACACTAATTTAAGGGCACGCAATAATGCGTGATCTAAATCCTTAAATTTTTTGAATAGATGACACTTTTTTAATGTCAATCTCTTTTGTGTAACATAAATCAATGAGTGTCGTGGTTTGCGCGTCGTAAAAGGGTCTTTTTCTTGTAGTGAAAATGCCCTCTTGTGTACCCAAGCATGAAGATTAATACATTTTACTTGACACCATGAATGTTTAGTACATAAATAGTTTATCTAATTGCTACCTAGTACAATGTCTGTTGGTCTTCTGTATCCAAAATTTGGTAAATTGCTCAATGTGTTTTTTCTCTTAAATGGTTGAATCTTTGTTTACTCAAGTCTTCTTAGCCGAGTTAGAGTGAAAGAATAAGGCAACCTGACATTATTTGTTTTGTACGAGGGAAAATATTTAATTACTCCAATCAAATGAATTAAGCATCATCGGGAGCACATATTTCATTTAGCTGTTAGTTTATTATTTTTGACTGCATATGCTTCCTTCCGTCGTATAGATGACTTTTGTTATTGTGTTGATAAACTTAATATCAA